GACATCTCTACGTACAGTTCCCCTGAAAAAGTTCGCACCCTCGACTCGACTTGATCAACAAGTCGCTCGCTCTAAAGCGTCTTGAAAGTCAATACCGAACACTCAGTGCCAAATCAGATCTATGGCAACTCTACTCGCGCACATTTCAGGACTATCTGCAGAACGGAATCATCGAAGAGGTAGAAGAACATCGTTCAGATGACCACAGGATCTATTACATTCCGCATCAGGCAGTAATCAAGGAATCATCTGCGACAACGAAGCTTCGAGTAGTGTTCGATGCCTCATCCCACTATAAGGGAGCACCCAGCCTCAATGACTGCTTGTATTCTGGCCCATCGATCCTACCGGATCTCGTTGGCATTTTGATCCGTGCCCGTCTACACCCATATCTTTTGATATCGGATGTAGAGAAAGCGTTTTTACAAATTCGCTTGCAAGTCGGGCAAAGGGATGCAACTAGATTTTTGTGGTTAAAAGACCCTACCAAGCCACCGTCCCATGACAACATCAGGATATTTCGTTTTACACGCGTTCCGTTCGGAATAACCGCATCACCATTTTTATTAGCTGCTTCTATCCTATACTATTTGCGTCGTGACCCTTGTTGTCCGTTGAACAAGGAAATCGAATCGAACATCTACGTCGATAACATTGTTCTCGGTGCATCAACAGAAGCAGAAGCTATTCAAAAATATAGGGATTCAAAAGACCTGTTCACTTCTATGAACATGAACCTTCGAGAGTTCCTATGCAATTCTAGTGCGGTTAACCATGCCATCAATGCAGCAGACCGTATGAAGAATACTAAATCTGTTTCACTTTTAGGCATTCGCTGGAACCCTCAGTTGGACAACATTTCCATCCCAATCAACACCACTCGATACCAAGTTATATCTAAGCGCACAGCGCTAAAGGCTTTAGCTTCAACGTTTGATCCTTTAGGCCTTTTATCACCATTTCTAGCTCCATTCAAAATCTTTTTGCAGGATGCATGGTCGAAATCCTACCAATGGGACGATCCGCTCGATGCCGCAGATCTACATCGTTGGCAGCAGCTTGTACAGGATATACAGCACCCCATTCCACCCATACCGCGCTGTATAACTCCTCCCTTCGTCTTGAAGTTTGAGCTCTGCGTATTCGGCGATGCCTCCAAGCGGCTCTATTCTTCTTGTGTATATCTTCTTTGTCGAACTGCTTCATCGGTTGAGACTCATCTAGTTATGGCTAAGTCGTTACTAGGTCCGCGTAAGCCACTGACCATGCCACGCATGGAATTGTTAGCTGCACTCATAAGTCTTCGTCTCGTCAAATTTGTCCATACCCAAATCCAACTCGACATCTCGGCAATTCATGTCTTTTCAGACTCTCAAATAGTTCTTCATTGGATTCATTCAACACGCCCTCTGCGCATATTCGTCCATAACAGGATCAACGAAATACAGACCATCTGTGATCACTTCCGTTCTTTGAACATTCCTACTCGGTTCTATTATGTCGAATCCGAAGTTAATCCGGCGGACTGTGCCTCACGAGGCATTTCCACATCTCAAGCGCAACACCACATTTGGTGGTCCGGTCCATCATTTCTACGTTTGCCGCTTTCGTCTTGGCCTAAAAATGAAGGCTTTTCAAAACCCCCCGTCAATGACGGAGAGGTGCAAAGTGAATATCAGTCACTTGTTGTTTCGCAGCCTGTTGAATATGTGTCGCCATTACGGTTCCATACTATTAGTTCGTACTCTATACTCGTTCGCTCGACCGTTTACGCTCTGAAATTTATTCACGCCCTCTTTACCAAAGTGGGACGCCATAGCACCGTCTTCGACTCGCAGAAGCTAAGCGTTTCTGAGCTCATTTCCACTTCGGAATACGAGGAAGCGGAAGTCCTTCTCATTAAGGAGCATTATCGCGAAGGTTCGATGGTCCTCAGCCGTTTACCGCTTTATCGCTTCAATGCTCAGCGCTCAGAAAACGGTCTCATATATTGTCCGCATCGTGTACAGCAGGCTGGTAATATTAATCCTGCGCCTATACTTCTAGTTCCTTCTCATAAATTGGTGCAGCTTGTTGTCACCCATATTCACTTTAAGCAGTTTCACTCAGGCGTACACGCCACAATTGGTTTTTTTTTTTTTTTTTTTTTTTTTTTTTTTTTTTTTTTTTTTTTTTTTTTTTTTTTTTTTTTTTACAACACTTCGGAGGTCTTATTTTATTCCTTCTATTCGGAGCACTGTTGCCAAAATTCTCCGCAAATGTGTTGTCTGCAGGAAAGCCAACGCCTTGCCGTATCGATATCCGGATATGCCGAAACTGCCCAAGGAACGCATCAGTCGATCACGACCTTTCCAAAATGTTGGCTTGGATTACCTAGGACCACTTCAGTATTTGGATTCGACGCAAATGCCATCTAAACTCTGGATTTGCCTTCTTACTTGCACGGCAACCAGAGCCATTCACCTCGAAATCGTGTTGGACAATTCAACACAAGAATTTCTTCTCGCGTTTCGACGTTTTGTCGCACGTCGCGGAACTCCTGATCTAGTCCTCAGTGACAATTCATCTACGTTTCGTTCGGCTAGTGACACATTAGAACATGTTATCTACGGCCAACACTCAGCCAGGCAGCTTTCTGCTTATCTTACTTGTCACCGTATTCGTTGGAAGTTTATTACCCCACTGTCCCCCTGGAAAGGTGGGTTTTACGAGCGACTAGTGGGTCTCGTCAAAACCGCCATACGTAAATCCATTGGTCGTTCCCTTATTTCATTGCAGCAGTTTCAGACAGTCACGTTCGAAATAGAAGCAACTTTGAATAGTCGTCCTCTTACTTCACTTACGGACACTACTAGTTCGCCGACTATATTACGTCCTATAGATTTTATTTCGCCTCAAGTGCAACTTCAGACACCACCTGCTACTAACGAGCACACTTTCGACTTGTCGCATCAACGCCTCACAGAATGGTATCAAAGTACCACCTCTATTCTGGATCAGTTTTGGACTATCTGGTCCACCGATTACTTGTCAGCCATCTCTGAGCGTTATATCCGACGTATCCAGCAAGGCAAGTCAACTACTCGTGCACCCCAGATAGGCGAAATCGTGCTTGTCGGTGACAAACAACTTCCCCGTGGGCAGTGGCCCCTCGCAGTGATTACAAGCTTGAATTCGGATAGCACAAAAAACGTTCGATCAGCAACAATAAGGACATCAAATGGGAGAATCCTACAGAGATCCATAAATCAGCTCTATCCCTTAGAGATTACCCTACAAGAATCTGAGCACGAGGTTGCTTCTAAAATTCCAGCGCGCGTTCAACCATTCAGAACTGTAAAAGGTAGTCGAATCTTTAAAAAATAGTGTAGTCATTCATGCATTCGCTCATTTCATCAATTAATATATCATTTATATTCACATTTATATTGTTTATATTCACATATGCACTGTATATCATACCTTACATATACACCTTATGATCTCTGTTAGTCTAATAATCATTTTCATTTCATTCATCTACAATCTGTTCACTTCATTCTTAAGTTAAAGCCGCAAGCAATCTTATTTCCAGCAAATCATACCTTGTTCCGTTCAGTTTCACTGCTCAGAATACATAAAAAATACTTTAAACTCACTCCTTCTCTTACTTGTTGCATTACGCTCACAAAAATATGCGAAAGTCCCTTCTCTTATGACGTTCTTGTTGCGTGCGTCGTCCT